CCCAAACCAGATGAGGCAGCGTGTGGGGTCACCCACACCCCAATAGGGTCTGGCAAGGGGGGGACACGGCTCCCATGGGTGCAGCTTGGTCTCTGCCTCGCCTGTCAAAGGCAGACATTTCCTCCGGAGCCATGAACTCATTAGGGAGACACTGATTTAATTGTCTGCACACTGCGCTTGTGGGTTTTTTCCTTTGGGTTTCAAGAGCAACGAATCCTGGAGGGATCTAATTGGATCCCTATGGCTCATTAGCCATTTCTCTGGGAGGAAGGATTGTTAAGGCTGAAGGAAGGCTGGAAAACCGCCTGTGCTACACCCAGCTTTCCATGGGCATCCCTAATGTACAATCCCCCAGCCAGGCCGTGGCACTAGGAGTGCCCTGTCAACCAGAGGACATGGGAGATGCATGGGGTGGGTTCAGAGAGGCTCGTGCTGGAGTTTGGAGGAAGGATGGAGCCTTTCAGAGGGCAAATCGAGGGGCTCAAATCCAGAGCTGGGATGAGGATGGAGGCAGAAGCACCCAGCAGTGTGGGGATGCAGGCTGGGAGTGGAAGGACCATGTCCTCCTGCGCCATGGACCAAGGGCACCTTCAGAGCAAGGTCTCACCCTGCGGCTGCCTCCTCCAGCCTCCCTTCACTTGGATCCTGGTACTTTGGGAAGGAATTCAGCTCACAGTGGAGTCAACCCCTGATGTTTTCCAGCCCATGAGGGACGCAGTGGTTGTGACAGTGCAGAAAGCTCAGCAGGACACAGCCATCCATCACCAGCCAGGCATCTGGCCACTGCCGTGAGATAGACAAACAGCATCTGCCCAAGCTCAGCAGGGAGATGCTGAAGGTTTTCCAGCCCAAGGTAAATCCAGCTTCAAGGATAGAGGAGGAGGCTGGCCTCTCAGCCCTTCACTCTTCTGGCTGGGAGAAGACCCCAACCTGCCGGATGACAAGTGATGATTCTGGTGATGGCTCACTACAAACCCCACCACTGCGTCAGCTCCACATCACCCCACTGGCCTTTAAGATATCTCAATCTGGCAAAAGGTCCTTGAAGAGGATCCCAAGTGCTCAAGCACAGAAGGCCCTGCAGGTGCCTGAATGCTCCTCCTGGAAATCAGGATCACAGAATGGTTTGGGTTGGGAGGGACCTTAAAGCTCCTCCAGCTCCAACCCCTGCATGAGCAGGGACCCCTTCCACTGCAGCAGCTTGCTCCAAGCCCCTGTGTCCAACCTGGCCTTGAAGACTTCTCCTTCATTTCCATTGGATTTGAATCCTGACCTTTAACATCCCCTCTGCCTGTAATCAAAGGCCAAGCAATCCCCCACTGCCGGTGCTCTGTGTGTGTTCATTACAGAAGAGCTTACTGGAAAACTAATTCCCTCACTCAGAGGCATCCTTGGACAAGGGGGGAGGCAGATGCTTCGATCTCAGGACTTTCTGCATTTGTCCTTCCTGTCCCAGTTGGCTTTGTCCCCATTCCCCTTCTCATCTGTGGGCTGGAAACCCCAAGAGAGGCAGCACAGTGAGAACAAGCACTGCTGGCTGTAAACAGGGGGAGCCTTCATTCCCGGCCTCCTCACACCTCCCATGATGAGCAGCACCCTGACATCTCGGAGCAGCTCCCCAAAGCGCCCATAGCACAGCACTGGGATGTGCTTGATGGCAGCTGGTGACCAAGGGAAGGGGTTTGGGTACCCAGGAGCAGGGTCCAGCCCCCAGGGCACTGGAGATAGGACAAGCCCATGGACCAGGGGTTTGCCCAGCCCCACAAAGGCACCTTACACCATACCTGTGTTTGCGCTAGGTGATGCTCCGGAGGATGCTTGGTGGGTTTAGCTGCTTTTCCAAACACAGGCTCGATTATTGTTATTAATTACTGTAATGTGGGTTTAGCCATGAGCAGCATCGCTGGGGCTCAGCAGGAACCCTTCTGCCTGCACCCACGGCTAAGCTGCTGTTGTCCCAGATACAGTCACGAGACCATTTGTTGTCCCCCCCAAGGCCCTGGGTGGGAGGACAGCCCTGGCAAGCTGTGCTGGGCCCTGTCACCACAGTCTGGTGCCACCCCCAGCCCTCATATCACCTGCCAGCAGGCAGACAATGGTACCCTCACCTCTAATGTACCAGGCACTGGGTGCAGGGGGGGAGAAGATGACCCTTTGTGCCTAGAGGGTGCTGAGTGATGCGAAGAAGGAGCGGAGGGGGATGCAGAGCAGAAAAAAGGTGATTTTTTTAGGGGTACGTGGGCAAGGATGCTCCCAGCCCTGCTGAGCAATGGGACACGGGTTGGGGGCTTCTGTTGCAAGGAAGAGCTGGAGACAGGCATGTGCCCCTGGGCTCTGGCATCATCCCCCATCTCCCATACCTCATCGTGCAGGGTGATGTAAAACCAGTGTCCTGCGGGACTGTCACAGCTCTGTCACTGTGAACCTGGTGCTTGCACTGGGGGTCCTGGGCTGCCCACAAGCCCCCTGCTGAGAAGGGGATAGCGAGGGGCTGATGCTGAGGGTGATGGAGGCCTTTCCCTCCTGCAGCAGGGATGGAGCCCAGGCACCATCCCCAGTCTCATTCCAGCACTGCCATCTGGCGACATCAGCAAAGGGGACACTGGGGGGAAGATCGATCCCTCCAGGGACTGTGGGTGTCTGCTCCTGGCATGACAGGGGGCTCCTGGAACCACAGAACCCCAGCCTGGGTTGGGTGGAAGGGACCTCAAAGCTCCTCCAGCTCCAACCCCTGCCATGGCAGGGACCCCTTCCACTGGAGCAGCTTGCTCCAAGCCCCTGTGTCCAACCTGGCCTTGAGCACTGCCAGGGATGGGGCAGCCACAGCTTCTCTGGGCACCCTGTGCCAGCGCCTCAGCACCCTCACAGGGAAGAGCTTCTGCCTAAGAGCTCAGCTCAGTCTCCCCTCGGGCAGGTTCAAGCCATTCCCTCTTGTTCCATCCCTACATCCCTTGTCCCAAGCCCCTCTCCAGGTTTCCTGCAGCCCCTTTAGGCACTGGAGCTGCTCTAAGCTCCCTGGAGCCATCTCTTCACGTCCCCACAAGCACAGCAGGACCGAAGGGACAAACACCCTTGTGGCCACTCTGCCTTCCAGTGAGGACAGGGGCTTAGGGACCCTCCTGCCGCGGGTGTCCCAGGGCTCCCATATCCAGCCGGGAAGGGGCAGGAGCTGCCAGATCCCGTGCCCCATCGTGTCCCCATGGGCGCTGCCAGACCCGTGCCCGCACGCAGCCAGTCCGGGCAGGTCCCCAGCGCACACCCCTGCTGGGAGCAGCAACCGGAGCTGGGCTGGGATCACAGAGCAGCGCCAGGCTCTGACCTCTCCTCTACTGGGAGCTCAATGCGTGCCAGCTGATGAGGGGCCAAGCCACGGGGCTTCAGTGCTGCAGTGAGCAGTGTGGCACCCTGCTCTTCCTCAAGGACACAGGGGGCAGGTTGGCTTCCCCCATGCCCATACCCCCCAGTCCTGCTGTGCACTCATGTCCTCTCCCTGCTGTCTAAATGTAGGGTCTGGAAGCAGGCTAGCACATCCCATCCCAGCCCTGCATGATGCATGCCAGCTCTCACCGCTCCACATGGATGTGCCAGAAAGAGCTGGGAAACACACTGCTGGCCCAGCCCCAGCTCCCACCCTTGGCCGTGCGTGGAAGGATGCCCCTTGGACCCCCTCGCTTGGGTTCTGTCCCCACAGAGGGAGTTGTGGGTCTGCTGGAGATGGAGGGGGTGTTGCCAGAGCCAGCAAGAAGGGCTGCTATAGGTGATGACAGGAAGGAGAGGGAAAATACAGGGGATGCACCCATGAGTGCTGAGGGAGGTGGCACATGCTGCTGTGAGGCCAGCCTCTGAATGATCATCACAGGGGATCATCATGGGGACTGGGAGAAGAGCCCCAAGGCTGGAGGAAAGCAAACATCACTTTCATCTTCAAGAAGAGCAAGGCAGGACTTTGGGAACCTTTTTCCCTTTTGGGAAGGACTTTCACCCTGACCCTGGGAAGGTGGCGGAGCAGCTGATCCTGGAAACCATTAAGGATGAGAAGTCAGCATGGGGGCCACACTGGATAGACTTGTGCAATGAAAGGGCTGCAGAACAGGGGGTATTGCCTGCCTGGTCTTCAGGAAGGCCTTTGGCACCGACTGCCCTAGGATCCTCACAAAGGTGTTGATGCAGATGGATCAAGGTGAGGTGGGTTGAACACTGCATGGCCAGGCATGGGTGGTGGGTGAGCAGAGGCACCAAGTCTAGGTGGAGGCTGGTACCTCAGGGGTCTGTACTGGGTCTGGTCCTGTTTAACCCCTTCATTAATGATCTGGATGATGGGGCAGCATCAGCTCCGCAATGAGACTGAACTGGGAAGGGTGGCTGGTGGAGCAGAGGCTTGTGCTGCCATCCAGAGGGACCTGGATGGTCAGGCTGGAGGAATGGGATAGCAGGATCACAAGGTTCAACAAGGAGAAAGGCAAAGTCCGGCCCCTGGAAGAGCAATCCCAGCACCAGCACATGGAAAGCAGCTCTGCAGAAAAGGACCTGGGGGCTCGTGGTGGATGGAAGATTGGACATGAGCGGGCAATGTGTGCTTGAGCCCAGAACCCCCCTGTGAGCTGGGCTGTACCCAGAGCGTGAGCAGCAGCTCAGGGAGGGGATCCTGCCCCTCTGCTGCGCTGTGTTGGGTCTAAGGCAGGAGCTCTTCCCTGTGAGGGTGCTGAGGCGCTGGCACAGGGTGCCCAGAGAAGCTGTGGCTGCCCCATCCCTGGCAGTGCTCAAGGCCAGGTTGGACACAGGGGCTTGGAGCAAGCTGCTCCAGTGGAAGGGGTCCCTGCCATGGCAGGGGTTGGAGCTGGAGGAGCTTTAAGGTCCCTTCAACCCAAACCATTGCAGGATTCTTTGACCCCCCCATCCCCGACCCGCACTCACGCTCCCCTCGGCAGTGCACGGGGAAGGAGGCTCCGGGGCTGCCGCTTGTTGAGTGTGGGGGGGGGTGTCCATGGGTGCCAGGACCCGCCCCGGGGGAGGCGCAGCGGGAGCGACGGGCCCCGGGCGGAGCCAGCGGCGGAGCGAGGGACCGGAGCGGGGTCCGGGGCCGCACCATGGGGGCCTGCCTGGGGGTCTGCTCCCTGCTCAGCTGCGTGAGTGCCGCGGGACCGAGAGGGAACCGGGGGGGGACCGGGAGGGAACCGGGAGGAGGCGCAGAGGGAGCGGGGCTGCGCCGGCTCCGAGCGCCGCAGCGGCGGGGGCGGCCCCGGGCTGGGTAATGGCTGTGGCTGCGGGTTGAGGGGGAGGCCCGGGTCTGGGGGTGCCCCCGGGGATGGGCCCCGGTACAGCCAAAGGGATGGAGGAGACGCAAGGGATGACAAGGGGAGCCCGGATGATGCCCCCGCTGCAGCTGCGGGATGCAGGGGGTACCCGGGGATGCAGGGACCCCTATGGGGATGCGCCCCTGTGTATACGGGGGATACAGGGGAGCCGTGACGGGTTGCAGCCCTGTGAACACGGGAACACCCAAGGGATGCAGATCTGTGGACACGGAGGATACAGGGGACATGCGGGGAGATGCACCCCCTGTACATCCCCGGGAGGGATGGAGCCCTGTGAACACGGGGCATGCAGGGACACCTGTGTACAGGGGAGTATACAAATGAGCCCCGGAGAAGGCATCCTGCTGCACCCAGGAGAGCCCAAGGGAGACCCAGAGGGTTCCCCCCAGATAACTCTGGGGCTCCTGAGTGTCGTGGTTGAGGGGAGTGTGGAGTCTGAAAGTGCCTGGAGTGGTGGAACCCGGTGCACTTGGGGGTATGGGGAGCTTGAGGAGTGATGCCCTGCTGCACTGGGGGCACTCAGGGGGTCCTGGCCCCCCTTCCCTAATACACTGAGGAGGCTGCACCCATGCGATGCTGAGGGGCTGGGTCCTGCCGGGGGATGCAGTAAGAGCAGGAGCTCGGAGATGGGGGGCTCTGCGTGGGTGCCATGGCCCAGGGCAGGGTGCACGTCTCAGGGTGCTGCGCCCAGTGACGCAGGCAGCTCCGTGGCCGGTGTTGCCTTTCCTGTTGTTGCCTCACCTGCGGGCACAGGGCCAGGGCTGCGGAACCAACCCCGGAGCCTGGAAACCTGGGAACGGGGCCGGTTGTGAAACTTGACCTCAAAGCTGCGGACGTTTCACCAACAGGGGCCTTTGAAACACCCGATGGGACACGGGGGGGGATGCTCTGCAGGACCTGTCTGTGACACATGACCGATAGTTTTCCTTATGGGAAGGTACTGGAAAAGCTGGGAGTTTCTCTGGAGCAGGACTGGGGAGGTTTCTGGCCTAATTCTGGACATTTGTCCCCCAAAAAAGCTATTCTGGTTCAGGCCATAGCATCACGGAGTGGTTTGGGATGGAGGGGACCTTAGAGCTCATCCAGTTCCAACCCTCTGCCATGGGCAGGGCCTTGCAATATAGGGCAGGGCCTTGCAATATAGGGCAGGGCTTGCTATGTAGGGCAGGGCCTTGCTATGTAGGTTTAATTCTCCTGTTCCTTCAAGGGGAGCTGGTTCATTCATGGGATGCTTCAGCTCAATTCTGAACTGAAAAACCACAAATAACCAAAGTAACCAAACCAAAACCAAACCCCCCCAAATCTGTGTGGTTTTTAACAGAGAGAATCTGAGCTAAGTCCTGGTCGAGCCTGCATCATTTGGGTTAAACAGCATGGGATTGCTCAGCCACCTCTTCAGACCTTTCCCTACAAGCTCTTCCTCAGTGAAACTTGGCAGCAAACACCAACTATTTCCCTTTCTCTGCCTCCAATGATTTGCCAGACCCTGCCCACCACTTCCATGAGTGGAATAGTCGCCTTAGGTGCCTTCCTTATGGGATGGGATGGGTGTTACGGTGTTGGTCCCATAACACCTCCTTATGGGATGAGGTTGGTGATGCCAGTAGAAGGCTGCCCATGGCAACGGCAGTCCTGGGGGCTCATGCAGCCCTCCAGCATGGTTTGGGCACCTCATGGGGACCATCAGCCTCATTGTACCAGCACAAAGCCACCAGCCTGTGCCTGACCCCGTGGGCTCAGCACTGATTAACCTGCTGGTCATTAATTGAACTGGAGATAAGAACTGGTTACTCTGCATTGCTTTGGCTTGATTCAGGCTCTGCAGCCCTGGGTTTGCCAGGGTGAAGGCAGCTTGCAGGAGAGGTGGTGTTGGGGTGTTGGTGTTGGGGTGTTGGTGTTGGGTTCATGCTGTTGTGTTTCCCTGGCTGGGTGGACAGTGCTTGTCCATCTCCATCCATGCTCCCCCAGCCTGCAGGCAGAGGAGGGAGCACAGCAGCTCTTAGGTGCGAGTTGTGCTGAAGGTGAGCTGGTTTCCATGAGGAAGCTGATGGTGGAACTGGAGTGATCAGCCTTTCGTCTGCAGTGCCTGGAACCTGAAGGTTCCTCATTACCACTTTTGGTGCTAGGATGCCTTTGGAAGTCTTCAAAGGAGGTGGATGAAAGCATGGCCAGTGCTGCCTTAACAGGGCAGGATTTCCCTTGCTCTTAACCCATTGCTTTTGAAAGAGAAAAGCTGAAATCAAGATGTGCCCAGGCAGCGTGTGGCAAAGGCTTCCTTTGCAGAGCAGCTGAGAGCAGGGATGGATATCCAAGGATGTAACCAGGAGCTAGGAAAAAGCTTGACCACACAGCGTGGTGGCTCAGTGACCAGAGGGACCTGCATCAGGCTCGGAGGTGGGACCTTGGAGCAGCTCCAGTGCCTAAAGGGGCTGCAGGAAACCTGGAGAGGGGCTTGGGACAAGGGCCTGTAGGGACAGGCCAAGGGGAATGGCTTGAACCTGCCCGAGGGGAGACTGAGCTGAGCTCTTAGGCAGAAGCTCTTCCCTGTGAGGGTGCTGAGGCGCTGGCACAGGGTGCCCAGAGAAGCTGTGGCTGCCCCATCCCTGGCAGTGCTCAAGGCCAGGTTGGACACAGGGGCTTGGAGCAAGCTGCTCCAGTGGAAGGGGTCCCTGCCCGTGGCAGGGGTTGGAGCTGGAGGAGCTTTAAGGTCCCTTCAACCCAAACCATCCCATGGTTCTATGACTCTATGAAATAGGTGGGTGAATATCCAAGCTGGGGAGCAGAAAAGAAGACCAAAGATGTCTCCAGGACTCCTGGTGTCATTTCCCAAGCTGGGTGGGCATTGGAGTGAACCTGTTCCTGCAGCATTGCTGCTTGTCAGCAACCTTTTGGTGGGATTTGGGACCGTTTCCATGGGGCCCTGCAGGCTGCAGTGCTGGTGAGGAGCTCTAAGCAATGGTGTGGATCCCTGGGCAGATCTCCATATGGTCCAACCTGGGCACATGCTTTGGGGGTGGTCTCAACCCTTCTGACGCAGGATGCTCTTGTTGCAGGTGTCCTGTCTCTGTGGCTCTGCACCATGTCTGCTCTGCGGCTGCTGCCCCTCGGCCAAGAACTCCACCATCTCCCGCCTCATCTTCACCTTCTTCCTCTTCCTCGGCACCCTCGTATCCATCATTATGATAATCCCTGGTGTGGAGAAGGAGCTGCACAAGGTGAATAACCCCTGGATGCTGCTGGGCTTGGCCACCATGGGGAAGAAGCCGAGCTCGTGGTGGGTACATGAGGCTGAATCAGAAAGTGAAGTTTTGGGGCGTGATGTTGCTTCTGTTCCCTTTTTTATGAGCATCTCCCTGGGAGAGGTGTTACTGGCCCTGATTTTCCACGCAGGGGAAGATGCAGTGGGATAATTTCATGCATTTCCACGTTTTCCCATGCAAGTTTCCTACCTCCCATTTTTGGGGTTCAACTGGCCAAGTGACTTGCAAGGCATAGAATCATGGAATGGTTATGGGAAATGCTGGTTTCATCCCAGCTTTCCTGGGATGACTGATGGCTTTAGCTGTGTCACTCCACTGCTGTCCCCAAGCAGGCCAACTGCATGCTTTATGAGTGGCATCGGAGCAGTCATGGGCATCACTGATGGCACCGGGGATCGTGGTGGGTGCAGGATGCTGGGGTGATGCTCACCCTCCCGTTACCATTGCAGCTCCCCGGCTTCTGTGAAGGCAGTGGGTCAGTGCTGGGGGTCCAGACCCACGTTGACTGCAGCAGCTTCCTGGGCCTCAAGGCTGTGTACCGCATGGGCTTCGCCATGGCCGCCTTCTTCTTCCTCTTTGCCATCCTCATGGTGTGTGTGCGCAGCAGCAAGGACCCGCGGGCCGCTGTGCAGAACGGGTGAGCCCTTGTCCCTAGGGGGGGGAATAGATCAGACCCCCCCTTCCCTGGGAGCTGGGTTCCAGCTCCACATTGTGCCTCCTCTCTCCTTCCACAGCTTCTGGTTCTTCAAGTTCCTGCTGCTGGTGGGGATCACAGTGGGGGCCTTCTACATCCCTGATGGTGCCTTCACCTCGGGTGAGGAGCTGCCCCTGCTCTCCCGGCATCGCTGGGCTCAGCATCCCCACTGCTGTGTGCCCCCTTTCCCTGCTCTTAACTGGGGTTTCTCCTCTCTCAAGTGTGGTTTTACTTCGGTGTGGTCGGCTCCTTCCTCTTCATCCTCATCCAGCTCCTCCTCCTCATCGACTTCGCCCACTCCTGGAGCCAGCTGTGGCTGCGCAATGCAGGCGAGAGCAACGCCAAGGGCTGGTATGCAGGTCGGTATGGGGGGCACCATGCAGGGCTTAGGGATGGGGAAGCTCCTCCTGGAGCTGGTGGGGATGGGGGGCTCTGCTCCAGCCCCTTTCCTGTCTGGTTCCTCCCCCAGCCCTCTGCACCGTCACTTGCATCTTCTACGCCGCCTCCATCGCAGCCGTAGTGCTGCTCTACATCTACTACACCAAGCCCGAGGGCTGCACGGAGGGCAAGGTCCTCATCAGCATCAACCTCATCCTCTGCCTCATCGTCTCTGCTGTGTCCATACTGCCCAAGATCCAGGTTAGCTGATGGGGAGGGCACCTTGGAGGCTGGTGGCCATGTCACTGTGGGGTACAGGACCAGCTCTGAGCATCCATGGTTGTGTTTGCAGGAGGCTCAGCCGCACTCGGGGCTGCTCCAGGCATCCCTCATCACCCTTTACACCATGTACATCACCTGGGCTGCCTTGGCCAATGTACCAAGTAAGCAGGATGGTTTGGGAGGGGGATACATGGGGCACCCACTGTGGTGGCTGCTTTGCCCTCCTGGGTCTCTGTATGCTGGGGAAAGGTGCTGAACCCCCTGTATGTCCTCCCCTAGGCCAGGCCTGTAACCCCACACTGCTGGTAAGGAACAGCACCAGCTCAGCGACAGCCACCCAGCCACTGACAACCTGGTGGGATGCCCCGAGCATCGTGGGGCTCATAATCTTCATCCTCTGCACCCTCTTCATCAGGTGAGGACTTGGCTGCGTGGCCCTGAGGACTGCATCGCCCCTCTGCCTGCCCGGAACAGGGGGACACAGGGAGGCTCTTAGGCAATAGGTGATGCTGGAGCAGGGGTCACAGCTCAGCATCCATGAACCTCCTGTCCCTGCAGCATCCGCTCCTCTGACCACCCCGAGGTGAACAAGCTGATGCTGACAGAGGAGAGCACGGCCGGGACGGGCGGTGAGGCTGCGGAGCATGGGGAGCATCGTGCCTATGACAATGAGCAGGATGGGGTGTCCTACAACTACACCTTCTTCCACCTCTGCCTCGTCCTCGCTGCCCTCTACATCATGATGACCCTCACCAACTGGTACAGGTGGGCAGAGCAACCTCTTCTCTCAGTGTCCTCCCTGCTCCTGCACTGGGCAGAGCTGGTTGTTGAGGTCCATCTGCGTGAGAACCCCCTTTGTGTGCACTGTTATCAGTGCTTACGCTTAGTGCTGCCTATGGCAGGTTGTGCCTGTGCTCACCGGCTCCCAGCTGCAGCCTGGGATCCCTTGGGATGATGGGGGGGGAGCCAGGACCCAGCCCTGGGGGTGCTGTGGCTGCACTGGTGGGGTCACATCCCTTGGACAGGCTGTGGGGAGCATCAAGATGCGGCTTCTCCGCTCCCCCCTCTGTGTTCTTTGTGCTGCACCCATGGCTTGGTGCTCGCAGCATCCTTCCCTCCGCTGTGCTCGGGATGCGCAGGGAGATGCCGCCCGCTGCAGCATGGTGATGGGGGCTGCTGCTCTTTGGGCTTTCAGGCCGGATGAGAGCTTGCGGGTGCTGTCGAGCCCCTGGACCGCCGTGTGGGTGAAGATCAGCTCCAGCTGGGCCGGGCTCCTGCTCTACCTCTGGACCTTGGTGGCTCCGCTGGTACTGCCGGACCGGGACTTCAGCTGAGGGCATCCTGCTGCTGGGTTGGAGCCATCGTGTCCTTGTCCCTCGAGGCTGGGGACAGCCCCAGCCATGCTGGGTTGTGCCTTCTTGGAGGTCTTTTGGTTTCATTGGAAAGGGATGAGGTGCCAAGCACTGAAAATCAGCAAGGGCTGAGGAAGACTTGAGGATGGTTTTGAAGCTCTTCTCATCTCTTTCCATGCTTGTTTAGTGCCTTTAGGGGTGCTCCATCCCCTCCTCTTCTAGCGGACACCCTGCCTTGCCTTGGGAGGGTTTGGTGTCACCAGCTCACTTGGAGCTTCAGGACCATGGTGCCTTTTGGAGGGGGTCTGGGGAGCTGCCATGTGCCAGGCTCCAGGACCTGGTGTTCCCTCCCCAGAGAGCCTCAGGGGTTTGTGGCCCCAACAGCCACGGTGATGGCCCCAGCTCCTCCAGGGCTCTCCTGCCCACCCGTCCCATGGGAGGACCATCCCTGCTCCTCACTGGAGCACAGGTTGGGTTACCATAGTAATAAAGTCTTGTTTGGAACAAACCCATCAGATGGGGCCTTGTGGGGTCTTTCCTGATGGGTGCTGGGAGGTGGAAGAAAGGGGATGGATTAAACAGCCCTGACACTGGGGTGAGGGCACCACTGCTGCCCTGGGGGTGCAGGCTGGGGAGGGGGCATCACTGTGTCACAGCAGCCTGGAGCCCTGGACCCTGCTGCCAGCCTGGGGCACCCCAAGCACTGAAGGGCGGGTGGTGGTGGTGATGCTGGAGAGCGCAGCATGGGGTGCACACCATGGAGGGGCTGCACACAGATAGGGGTGCGCACAGTAGAGTGGTTGCACACTGGGTGCATGGGGCTGCGGATAGCACCGCGGTGGGCACACGCTGTGCTGGGGTGCGCATCTCCCATGCTGGGCTGTGTCCCATGCAGGGTGCACCCTGTGCCGGGGGGTCCCTGGGTGGGTGCACCCTGTGCCTGCAGCAGCCGTGGGGTGGAAGGGGTTCATTGCGCACCCCAGGAGCAGGCGGGGGCAGACAAGGACAGCACTGAGCCACGAGGGGGCGCTGGCGGCACACGCTGCGGTGCACCCAGCACCCTGCACCCTGCACCCTGGACCATGCATATTGCATCTCTTAAGCTGTACTCTGCATCCTGCATCATGGACCCTGCTCCATGCATCCTGCACCCTGCACCCTGGACCATGCATATTGCATCTCTTAAGCCGTACTCTGCGTCCCGCATTATGGACCCTGCTCCATGCACCCTGCATCATGCACCCTGCACCCTGGACCATGCATATCGTATCTAAGCTGTACTCTGCACCCTGCATCATGGGCCCTGCACCTGCATCATGCACCCTGCTCCATGCACCCTGCATTCTGCACCATGCATATTGTATCTCTAAGCTGTACTCTGCACCCTGCATCATGCACCCTGCTCCCTGCATCATGCACCCTCTTCCATGGACCCTGCATCATGGACCCTGAGCTATGCATATTGTATTTCTAAGCTGTACTCTGCACTCTGCATCATGCACCCTGCATCATGGACCCTGCACCCTGCATCATGCACCCTGCACCATGCACCCTGCACCCTGGACCGTGCATATCGTATCTCTAAGCTGAACTTTGCACTTTGCATCATGCACCCTGCTCCCTGGACCATGCATATTGTATCTCTAAGCTGTACTGTGCACTCTGCATCATGCACCCTGCTCCCAGAACCCTGCATTCTGCACCCAGTATCATGCACCCTGTGTCCTGCATTCTGCACCCTGCATCATGCACCCTCCACCCTGCATCATGTACCATGCATCCTACACAATGCACCCTGCATAGTGCACCATGCATTCTGCACACTGCACCATGCATTCTGCACACTGCACCCTGGACCATGCATATTGCATCTCTAAGCGGTATTCTGCACCCTGCATCCTGCTCCCTGTGTAGTGCAACCTGAGTCTGACACCCTGCACCCTGTGCTCTGCATCATTCAACTTGCACCCAACACGCTGTGTCCTGCATCCTGCACCACCTGTCCCAAGCCCCTCTCCAGGTTTCCTGCAGCCCCTTCAGGCACTGGAGCTGCTCTCAGGTCTCCCCTTCAGGAGCCTTCTCCAGACTGCCCCAGCCCAGCTCTCTCAGCCTGGCTGCAGAGCTGAGCTGCTCCAGCCTTTGCACCAGCTCCGTGACCTCTCCTGCACTCACTCCAACAGCTCCCCGTCCCTCTTGTGTTGGCTTTAATTAGCACTAATGTGGCTTTAATTGCTCTAAATTGCTCTCTTTGGGGAGGGGGCATCTCAGAATGATGGATGTGGGGGGAAAGAAGCACAACACGGGAACATTGGGCAGCCCAGACAAAGCCAGACACCGGTTTGCTTTACAACAGCGAACTGTGAGCACGAATTGACCTGAATTTAAAGCTGCTCGGAGGGGTCATGAAGGGGTTGAGGACCCCCCAGCGGCGCCCATGCTCAGGGTGATGGGGGCACGCAGAGTGCAGGATGTCAAGAGAGGGACGGGACAAAGGGAATGGCTTGAACCTGCCCGAGGGGAGACTGAGCTGAGCTCTTAGGCAGAAGCTCTTCCCTGTGAGAGTGCTGAGGTGCTGGCACAGGGTGCCCAGAGAAGCTGTGGCTGCCCCATCCCTGGCAGTGCTCAAGGCCAGGTTGGACACAGGGGCTTGGAGCAAGCTGCTCCAGTGGGAGGGGTCCCTGCCCGCGGCAGGGGTTGGAGCTGGAGGAGCTTTAAGCTCCCTTCAATCCACCCCAGGCTGTGCCTCTGACGCACACCCGGCAGCACCAGCCCTGGCCGTTGCTCAGCAGAGGAGGGGGAAGCGCCTCCATCATTCATTGCAAGGAGGCGCCCGGGGCAATCCACGTCGGCCCCGCAGCGTTCCCAGCGCCCCGCCGCGCTCCACGAGCCGCATCTGGAGCCATCGGTGCCTGCCAGGCGCGGCACGGAGCAGCTCTGATGAATCGTGGAGCACAGCCAGGGCCCGGCCTCCCGGGATAACGCTGGGAGGCAGCGGCAGCATCACCCAGCGCTGCCGCTGTGGGCACGGGTTCAGCTCCGGGGGTCTCTGCTCCTCGCCAAGGTGTTCAACCGGGGTAGGAGGATGCTGGGGTTAAAGCAGGGAGGGGAATGAGCCAAGCAGGGAGGTGAAATCAGGGCTGCTTGGCTGGGCTTGTGGGCAAGCATCATCTGTGAGGGCTCCTCAGCACTGTGGTCATGGGCAGGCTCAGCCCTGAGCCCTGCCCTGGGGAAGGGGTGAGAGAGACCTCTCCGATGGGAGCAAACCCACGGTCCAATGGGGAGCAACCAGCCCAGCACCACTGAGCCCCCAGGATCCCTGTTTTGCTCTGCAGATGCATGGACCAAGCATCCCCTGGGCTGAGGTTTGCTGCTGTGCGAGGTACTGGGGATGCTCCAGGGACCTGTCCTGCCCTTAGGTAATCACTGCGCTGGGTGCAATGGGGCTGCTGTGGCTCCCATGGGCCAGGGCACTGGTTTGTGCCCTTCCTATTGCATGGGGGCACCTCAACCCCCCCCAAACCCCAGAGCTGGCAGTGACTGTGCTGCCTCCCCACTGGTGTCTGGAGCTGCTTCCTCTGCCCTCAGCAGTGCTTTAAAGAGCAAAAGGGATGTGAAGGAAGACAGGGACTCAGAAGGAAAGAAATAAACCCATGGAGCTTGAACCCTGCTGCTAGGGAAACATCTGCATCTATAAATACCACTGATGGGAGTGGGAACAGGCTGTATCCCTGCAGCTCCCTAAGGCAGCGGAGCAGCCTTGCTCCGGCTAACCCCATCCCAACACGTGCTGCTGTAGCACACACGGGTTGCTGCAGCTTTGTGGATGCTGTTCTGGGGTAAAAAACCCCAAACCTGGTCCTTAAACAGAAAAGGAGATAAATAAATGATGTCTTGTTGTTTGCAGCTGGGTCACCATCCCCAGGGATGTGAGCTGAGCAGCAGGGATGTCCCAGTGCTCCTGGCTGGGACGTGATGTCCCACTGCTGGTCCTCACCCTGCTGTCACCCTTCCAGTGACCTTCTCCATCCCTCCAGCCTGGCTCACGTATGCTCAGAGAGGCACAGAGTCACTTCTTCACCATGCATTAAGTCCCCTGGGCAGGGAGATGCTTATCCAGATGGGAAACCAGCGAGCTCCTGGGTGGATCCATCCCTGGCAGTGCTCAAGGCCAGGTTGGACACAGGGGCTTGGAGCAAGCTGCTCCAGTGGAAGGGGTCCCTGCCCGTGGCTGGATGTGCTTTAAGGTCCCTTCAACCCAGCACAGTCTGGGATTCCCTCATCCCTACCCTGAGTCTGCAGGAGCCCAGCACCAGCCCTGGTACAGGCAGGATGTGATGGTGACCATGGGCTCTAGCTGGCCCAGGGATGTGCTGGTGCAGGAGGGTTTTGTTCTGCAGTCCCTGACCATCCAGGTTGCTCACACTGGGGTGATGTCCCCCACTGTCCATTAGGGACAAGAGGGGGTTGTCACCACTGCCACCAAGTGAATTGGTTGGGGTTTCCCATCAGAGGTGCTGTTAAGACAGTGATTTTGCACACCCTGTACAAAGCTCAGCAGCCAACAGGGGCCGTTCCTCCCAGCCACGCAGCACTGCTGTTGTGCTTCTTTCCTAGCATCATCCGTGTTACCTGTGCTCTGCTCAGGGCCATAAGCCTGCAAGCATCCCCTCAAATGCAGCATCATTTGGCTCGGGGGAGCAGAGGACTGAGCCCCCTGCTTGGGAGATCCCAGGGGGAAGAGTAAGGAATGGAATCAGTTCCTTTGCTGGATACTTGCACCTTTGGCTCTTTCAGCAGGGTCCCATTCCCACTCTTTGGCTTCCCTCCTCCCCAGACACCAGTGAGGAACACGTCACGTCCTGGCTTCGCAAGGACTCCGCTTATTCCCAGTCCTGGAGGAACCCCATCCCGAGAGCATCCTCCCACCCGTCACGTAGGGATGCTGCAGATGGCCGGAGGCGCTGGGGACCCTCAGAGCTGGCGCGGGTGCTGCTGATGGAGGCAGCAGTGTGGGAAGCACAGGCTGCCCTCACGTCACCCTCCTTCCCGGGGGCTCCTCAGCAGCAGCTCTGCTTCGGTTTTCCCTTTTCTCCTTTGTTATCCCCCTCCAACAACAAGGACTTTTCAGGAGGTGCCTCCCTCCCCCTATTTCCTCC